TAAGTTTTTCAACAAATGAAAAATTTAATGCATTAACTCACATTTTATTTCTATACTTGAGTTTACCAAACGAGAACCAGAAGATACAAAAAGTGCAGATTCTGACCGAGATGTTTTTAATGAAAAACCTTCTAAAGAAGAAGTCATGGCAGCTACTCAAGCTGAAGGACCTAAGCGGGTTTCAGATAGTGCCATTATGCACACAAGCATGGGAGACATTCACATCAAACTCTTCCCAGTTGAGTAGGTATTGTTTTTGTCTTCAATAAACACCAGTATAAATATGCTTAGGAAATTATGCAACTTAAAATTCTTGTTACTTTCACCTCAAGAAATCTGAAGAAGTGAAATGTTTCAAAGAGTTGTTACTATTATGTGGACATCCCAACTCTAGGTTTTGTGACTTATTTTAACTAGCTTTCTTATCAACTTACATCTTAAAGAGAAGAATAATTATTTTTTCTCTTGTTCTGGTAGCATAGTGGTTACAGATGGGGCTGTAGCCTCAAGGTCAACAGTTCAAAACTACTAGCAGTTCCGTAGGAGAAAGTGGAGGCTTTCTGCTCCTGTAAAGATTTACTGCCTCAGAAACCCTGTACAGGGTCACTATGAGTCAGAACCGACTCCATGGCACAGAACCACCACCGCTATGCTATATGGTTTAAAAATTAGTTCCAACCCAAAACATAAGGACTGTAATTAAAAATAGTAATAAAAAAATTCAGTCTTCTTAAGCGAGAAGATTTCTACTTACTGAGAGCCGAATAAAAGAAATGGGCTTAAAGAATTCCAAAGTTTTTATAGCCAAACAGTTTTTCTCATTTCTTTAGAAAGTACTTAAAAATTCATTTGTGTTTTGAAGGTGAATATTTCTGTCATACTACATCTTGGCAGTGAGTAAAGGACTGGGCAGTTTTAGACTGCTGGACAGCCTTCTTTCAAATCCCAACCCTAGTAAGCTTCTTTCCTGGTGTGCTTGGTGCAGGATTGTCTTGATGCCCCCTTACATTCCCAACTCTGAGAGCTGTTACATTTTAATGCACTACGTTGAGACATTTCGTGAGATTAGTTAATATTATTATTAAGAAGACTTTATACTCTTAGTGACTATTATTCATAGTTGATTAAATTTAGGAGCTGTTACTTCTGTGAATGAGTCCTTGCTCAGGAATATAAGAAAAATGCCTTTTCTAGAAACTTATTGTATAGGGTAAACTATGTATATTTTTTTAAAGCTGCTAAATGACTTGGAAATCTAAAACTGTCAAACTTAAAAATAATAAGCTTTCATGATCTAAACATACTAAAGTTAAAAATATACTATTGTTTACATACTCTCAAATCTTGCTTGTCCTGAGAAGTAAAGAGTATGAAAAAATATTGTCCTTCTAAGACATTCAGAAGACACTGGAAATACTAAGAAACAGAACTGCAATGAAAATGGTTTTAAGATGTTTTGGCTAGGTTTCTCACTTTTAATATATATCTTATTAGGTGCCCCAAGACAGTGGAAAACTTCTGTGTTCATAGCAGAAATGGTTATTATAATGGACATACATTTCACCGTATAATTAAGGTAAGTTATGCAAAGTTCTTATGATTTAAGGAATAGTATGTTATTGTAAATAGTCGCAACAGTGGATTATAACGTTTTTAGGAAGATGGTGCAGGACTAAACAATGTTTCAGTCTGTTATACTGAAGTTTGTCTTGAGTCACAGCTGAGTAGGATCACCCATTATTGTGTAACAAGAGGTATAGCCTATTCGTTCACACTTAGGAGTTTAGAACAAAGGAATAGGAAAAATGGATTATGACAGTCAAAGAAAGAATGAGTGGTCCTGAATATCAAATGTAGAAGGAAAAACAGGCATAATAGCCTGGCTTTCTTTTAAGAAACAATGCAATAATATCTTGTAAGCCGCTAACTCCTATTTCTGTGTAGTCAATTCCAACTTAGAGCTACAGAGTAGGACTACCCCATAGGGTTTCAAGGCTGTAAATCTTTACAGCAGCAGACTGCCCATATCTTTCTCCCATAGAGTAGCTGGTGGGTTCACACTGCCAACTTTTGTGTTAGCAATGGAGTTTAACCACGGCACCCAGGGCTCCTTTAATCAGATAAGCAAAGGATATATAATGAGTACAGGGTGAAGGTCGTGTTAAGATAAAACCAATTGCCAAGGTAACTTATTCCTAGTGGCTGGCTAGGTTTAGATCTAAAACATTCTTTAAATAGTAAAAGAACCCTGACATCACCCATTCTGTAACAAGCACTGCTACACCTAAGAGCAGCATGAACTCAGTCTGAGATTTGTTGAACAGCAATCCATAAATTACCCAGGCAGTGATAGAGTTCTTGGTAATTGCCAGGACAGATATGACAGGAGGAAAAGTTAGATTTCAGGTTAACCTTGCAGGATAAGCACTAGACTGTGAACCACAGTGTTGGTGGTTTAAGCCCACTAGCTGCTCCGAAGGAGAGATATGAGGCTTTCTGCTCCCACAAATATTTATAGCCTTGGAAACCCTATACAGGGTCACTATGAGTTGGAACCAATTCAATGGTATTTAACAACAAAAGAAATTAGTGAAGTGGCTGAAGAAATCCAAGGTATTTGTTGGAGAAAATAAAAACAGTAAGGTCAAATAAGAAAACTGACAAAAATTAGCAGACTGAACTTTAGTGGGAAAAGAGCAAGAAGATTAGCAAGACATCCTGCAGATGACTGATGAAATTGTAAGAAAAGTAGAATTACAACAAAGGCCAATGCCTTTTGTTCCAGTTGTGAAAGGTGGATACTCTTACTCAACAAACATAGGTTAAATTCCTTTATCATAGTATTGAGTGCCCTCGAGTTGGTTGGACTAATAGCGACCCTGTATAGGGTTTCCAAGGGGCACCACAATGGGACTCCTTAGTAGTAGGCTGTGTGAATAAAGTAGGTTGTGCTTTCCAGGACTCAGTAGGAGGATGCAAAGGGACAGGCATATGAATGTGATGAGTGCTTACTTATATGAAGAACTAGTAGAAGTCAAAGAACCCTTTACAGAGTACCTCGGGGATACTGAACTTGTATCACAGGTTTGGTTCCAGAAAGCAAATGTCGCAATAAAGTGAGTCTTACACGTTTTTTTGGTTTCCCAGTGCATATAAAAGATATGCTTGTATTATCCTGAAATATATGAAATATGAAATGTGCAATAGCACTATGAAAAAGAATGACATATTGTGTGAATTACTAAAATGTGACAGGCATGAAGTGAGCACATGCTGTTGGAGAAATGGTGCCGATAGACTTGCTAGACCTAGGGTTGCCATAACCTTCAGTCTGTGAAAAAACACAGTATCTGCGAAGCACAAGAAAGGGAAGTGCAGTAAAATGAGGTATGCCTATAATTCTGAAGTAGAAAATGTAAACACATTAAAACTTTATTTTCATGCACAGTTATGTAAGAGGCACTGTATAGTTATGAAACATAGTATTAACTACTTTTATTTGAAGGAGCTCTGGTAGTGTAGTGGTTAGCAAGTCAGCAGTTCGAAACTATTAGCTGCTTTATGGGAGAAAGATGAGTCTTTCTGCTCCCATAAAGATTTGCAGCCTTGGAAATCCTATACAGGGTCGCTATGAGTCGGAACCGACTCCATGCATACTACCGTCACCACCACCACTTCCATTGAAATTATTCAGAAAGATAGTACATATGTCTATGAGCAGAACTTTGCATATTTGTTTTGATTATTGCGAACAAGGAGGTGGTAATGCAATGGAATACTTCATCCAAATGAAAGGAAATGATTCAGAACCGATTTGAAGGCACTTAACACCACCACTAAACCGACTCGACGGCACTTAACAACAACAACACCACCACCACCACTAAGAGCTTAATTGGGTCACTTATAGCATTAAGGAAGCTAAGATTTTATTGAATTCAAAGTACTATCAGGAGAAATACATACGATACCAATGCATGAATATTTAGAAAAACATAATGTAATGTGCTTTTTGTGTACTTTCTTTAAGGGCTTCATGATACAGACTGGAGATCCAACAGGAACAGGTATGGGAGGAGAAAGCATATGGGGAGGAGAGTTTGAAGATGAATTTCATTCAACATTACGGCATGACAGACCATATACACTAAGCATGGCCAATGCTGGATCAAATAGTAATGGATCCCAGTTTTTCATAACAGTAGTACCAACAGTAAGTACATAATCACTATGAACCAGAGATCCATATGCTCTAAGAGAGTGAATGCAGTTGAAGAGAGCCAAATTAATTCTCTGCTATGTATGAATCAGGATATAAAACTAATAAACAATTTAGAGAAAAAGATACTAAAATTACCTAATAAATCTACATTTATATGGCAAGACATTGCTTCCCGGTAATAGGAAATACAATGGACTGTGAGTCATGGTATTGTTTGTTTCAGTTCTGTCACTACTAATTTTACAGTCTAAAATGAATTATTTCACAGTCCTGGTGCTGTAGTCTGCTTTTCAGAATGGAGGGATTAGAGTACAGCTCTGCGTTGTTCAGTGTCCACAATGTTCTAGGATGTTACGTGATTTGGATGTTGTATGAACACCTTTTTAGAACCTTCCATTTGTCCTCATCACTGCTGCTGCAGGAGCTGCTGGCAGACACCAGAGAAAGGGTGCTGGCAGTGAGAGTGGCAATGAGAGGGTGGCGAAAGGAGAGAGCAACAGGAAGTGAATGAGGAGGAAGCTGAGCCCACCCAGCCCCTCATGCCCATGAAACAAAACTGGAAAGCCCGTACCCATGCCCAGAACCATGTGTTCCTCCTCACCAGCCTTCATCCCACCTGTAGTCCACTGCTACCAGTCTGGATTTAGGCTCTTTAAAACCACTGTTGTTCTTAAGTGCTTTGATATGGTTCCGACTCAGAGTGATATGGGTCCATTCTGTGCCATCCTTACAGTTATTGTTAAGTTTGAGCCCAGTGCTACTGCTATTGTGTCAGTCTGATTCTTTGGGGGTCTTCCTCTGTTTGTTAACCCTCCACTTTACCAAGCATGGTGTCTTCCAGGAACTGATCCCTTTTGATGATATGTCCTAAGAACAAGAGATGAAGTCTCACCATCCTGGCTTCTAAGGAGCATTCCTGCTGTGTTTCTCCCAAGACAGCTTCTTTGTTCTTCTGAGAGTCCATGATACTAATAATATTCTTCCTGTCTTTCCCCAGCACCATAATTCAAATATATTGATTCTTCTCCAATTTTCCTTATTTATTCACCAACTTTCAGATGCATATGAGAGGATTGAAAATACCATGACTTAGGTCAGACACACCTTAGTCATCAAAGTGATATCTTTGCTCTTTAACACTTTAAAGAGGTCTTTTGCAACAGATTTGCCTAACTGGAATATGCCCTTTGATTTCTTGATAGCTGCTTCTATGAGCATTGTTTGTGGATCCAAGAGAAATGAAAGCTTTGACAACTTCAATCTTTTCCCTTTATCATGATGTTATTTACTAGTCTACTTGTGAGGATCTTTACATCCTTTTCATTGAAGTACAGTTCGTGTTGAACACTATTCTTAGATCTTCATCAGTAAAAATTTCAAGTCCTCTTCACTTCCAGTAAGCAAAGTTGTGTCATCTATATGTTGTAGGTTATTACTGAGTCGTCCAATCCTGATGCCATGTTCTTCTTCATATAATCCAGCTTCTCAGACTGTTTGCTTAGTATATGGATTAATTCACTATGGTGAAAGAATACAACACATCTTTCTCATTTTAAAGCATTCAGTATCCCTTTGTTCTGTTTGAATGACTGCCTCTTGATCTATGTACAGGTTCCCCATGAGCACAATTAAGTGTTCTGGAATACCCATTCTTTGCAGGGCTTGTTGTTATTAAGTGCTGTCGAGTCAGTTCCGACCCATAGTGACCCTGTATAGGGTTTCCAAGGAGCAGCTAGTGAGCTTGAACCGCCGACCTTACAATTCAAACGGCTTTGCAGTCTGGCGCATTAACCCACAGCGTCACACCAGGACTTTGCAATGCTATCCATAATTTATTCTGAACCTTTGCATAGTTAATAAAGCACAAGCAAACATCATTCTGGTATTCTCTACTTTTAGACAAGATCCATCTGATGTCAGCATTCTCTTACAGTCTGGTTGAATTTGTCAACTCCCTGTCAGTGTACTGTTGCAACCATTTTTAAATTATCTTCAGAGAAATTTGACTTGCATGTAGTATTAATGATACTGTCCAATGATTTCAACATTTCCACTCAGTCCCCTCTTTTGGAATGGGTTGACCAGGTAGGTGTCTTCCACATTTCAAATTTCTTGGCATAAATGAGTGAGCACCTCCTATGCTGCATCAGTTCGTTGAGAGATTTTAATCTGTATTCCATCAATTCCCTGAGCCTTGTTTTTTGCCAATACTTCAGTGCAGCTCAGACTTCTTTCAGTACCATCGGTTCTTTATTATATACTCCTTCTTGAGTTCTTTGAACATCAATAGTTTTTTTTTGGTGGTTTTTTTTTTTTTTTTTATACAATGTTTCTACACGTGTATTCCATCCATCTTCTTTTGATGCTTTCTGAATTATTCAGTATTTGCCCATAGAATCCTTTAATATTTGCAAGTTAAGGCTTGCATTTTTCCTTCAGTTCTTTCAGCTTGAGAAATACTGGGCATGTTCTTCCCGTTTGATTTCCTAGCTCCAAGTCTTTGCACATTTCATTATAATACTTGACTGTCTTATCAAGCTGTCCTTTGAAATTTTCTGTTCAGGTCTGTAAAAAATGTGAAACACCATACATTCTTCCCATAGTTCTGTCTTCTTCACTGGGTTCAGTAATTCATTACAGTGTCTATACAGACACAAAGACAATACTCACAGTTCTGGGGCTAGAATGAAGACTTTAGCATATCCAATCAAGTATAGGCTGAAAGAGGACTTAGAAGCTCTCTATAATCATGACACCCAAGTGATGTTTTTCCCAGGTAACTCCAGTAGTAGCTTTTCTACCCTGAGCTACAGCATAAAATCTCTTACACATTCTTTTTACCCGTTATAATTAACAGTAAATAAAATAACCATTTAAGAAACAGAAGTTTTATTTCCCATTCCTTTTCAGCCATTCTCATACAAACCTCATGCTTCCATGAGTTTGGAGCCCCATTCTGACACCAACTGCAAAAAATATGCACCAACCATTCCTCTCACAACCCTATCTACTGGGTTCGATTGTCCATTGCAAAGACCACACAGAACTTATATACCATACTTACAGTTATGGGCTTTATGAGGAAAGTTAACAGGTTACAATTCAGGGACAGAAATGCTCAGGGCACTGTTGTTCCAGTCAGCTGTTGGTAAATGCCCACAGGACACACCACTCCACCATAAGCCTCAGCCTGAAAGCCAATGACTCTAGCTCTGTGAATCAGGAAACCTAGCTGCCCTACTCCACCACTCATCTGTCAGTTTGTCGTACTATGGTGACTTGTGTTTCTGTGATTCTGAAAGCTATGTCACGGGTATTTTAAATACCAGCAGGGTCACCCACAGTGGACAGGTTTCAGCTGAGCTTTCAGACAAAGACAAACTAGGAAGGAGATAAGGACTACTTCCAAATAGTTAGTCACTGAAAACCTTATAAATAGCAGTGGAACACTGATAGCACCAGATTATTGAATATTGAAACATGATGAAGAGCACCAGAATATTGTCAGATAAGAGTGTTGGAAGATGAGCCCTTCTGTTTGGAAGGCACTCAAAATGCGACTGGGGAAGAGCTGTCTCCTCAAAGTAAAGTTGACTGTGCTAATGTGAATGAAGTAACCCCTTCAGGACCCTCATTTGCTGATGGACCACAACTCAAAATGAAGAGAAACAGCTATAAAAAATCCATTAGTCATCAGGGCATGGAATGTACAAAGTATGAATCTAGAAAAATTGGAAATAGTAAAAAATAAAATGGAATGTATAAACATCAATATCCTAGGCATTAGTGAGCTGAAATAGACTGGTATTGGCCATTTTTAATCTGACAACTTTTGAATTTTAACAACTTTTTCAGTCTAAAATTGATCAAACATGCAATCAAGATGTGTTGATAATTACTGGTGATTGGAATGCAAAAGTTGGAAACAAAGAGGAAGGATCAGTCATTAGAAAATATGGCCTTGGTGATAGAAACACAGGGGTCTCAAGTACGAATGGCGTGTTCCACTCCTGTCTCTTCTGTTTCTGAGATGGCTTATTTTAAAACGCTGCTAGCTTCAAGTATTAACAACTACAATTAACTGCTAGCATCCACAGTTGAATCATATCATCCTATCAGTATCCTCTCCCACTTTCTCTTACCCAGACCTAGAAGGGAAAATGTTGTTTTGTGGGATTTATGACAATGGGTAGAAGAGACATTAGATAATTCACTACAACACATGTTTTTGTATCGTCATTTCTTCCAATTGCTTTAGCTACACTCAAGAGCTAGCTCCCGTCTCTTCTAACATCCTCCATTTTTGTTTTCTTTCTTTCTTTCTTGTCTTTTTAATGACCCTTTGCTTCCTTTCTGTATGATGTTCTTGATGTCATCCCACAACTTGTTTTTGATCTTTAGTGTATCAAATCTGTTTTTGAAGAATTCATCATGGGCTTTAGTGATTGTGTGCAAATTTGAGTAATAGTGGTATTAACTGGTTTTCCTCATAGGTGTGTAGCTATTATCCTATCATAGACAGCATTGTAATTCAAGATATATCTTGAAATGCTGTATTTGATAATGAATGCAATGCCATTCCTTTTCTTCATTCCCAGCATAGTAAACCATTTGATTTTTATTTAAAATAGCCAATACCTATCCATTTTAGCTCATTATTGCCTAGGATTTTGATCTTAATTGTGCCATTTAATTTTGATTATTAATGGATGTTTACAGCTGTTTGCCCTCATATTTCATTTTGCCACTTTAGCAATTGAAGGTCCTGAAAGCTTTGCTCCTTCCACGCCATTAAAGTCAACTCCACTTTGAAGAGGCAACTCTTCCTCAAAGCTGAGGAATTCATCTTCTGGCACTATACCAGAAAAATTTCCATTGCAATTCCTAAGGTTTTCAGTGATTAACCATTCAGTAATGGTCTGCCTTCTTCCTAGTATGTCTTAGTCTGTAAGCTCTGCTGAAAACTGTCTACCATGGATGGCATTTAAAATACTGATAAAAAAATTTCCATTTTTAAAGAAAGCCCCTGATGGGACCTCTTTATATGCAGTGTGATGTCTGAACAGACAAGCAACACATGCTTATATATGTATTTCCAATTTTAAAAAATGTTCCTGTACAGTTAAATTTTTAAATATGGCTTGTATTCTGAGAGTTGTGCAACCATTCTCACTCTCCTTTTCTGAGTTATTCCTCCATCATTAACATAAACTCACTGCCTTCTAAGGTTCCTGGCTAACCGTTATCTTGAATTGTTAATATTATCCTATTTAAATAGTTCTTAAAAGAGCATAGCACTCAGGGCAGATTTTTTTTTTACTAGTTAAGCTAAACTATTGTTCAGTTTTAAAATTACTTCAGAATACATCACATACTCAGTGGCATTTTAAATTTGAGGAAATTATATTAAAAGCCATCTAGCTCCATTGTTAGCAGTCCTGGTGTGGCGTTGCGGGTTAATGCGCTGGACTGCAAGGTTGGTTTGAACTGAAAGGTTGGTAGTTCAAGCTCACCAGCAACTCCTTGGAAACCCTATTCAGGATCGCTATGAGTCGTAACTGATTGGACAGCAATGATAAAATGACATACTTTGTTTATTGAAATTAAGCACCAAGTACTGAACCCTGGTAAGGAGCTCTGGTAGCATAGTGGTTATGAATCGGGCTGCGAACCTTAAGGTCAGCAGTTTGAAACTACCAGCTGCTCTGTGGGAGAAAGATGAGGCTTTCCACTCCTGTAAAGATTTATAGCCTCGGAAACCCTGTACAGGGTTGCTATGAGTAGGAATCGTCTCGATGGCACATAACAACAACTGAACCCTGGTAGCGTAGTGGGTTATGTGTTGTATTGCTAACCACAAGGTCAGCAGTTTGAATCCATCAGTGGCTCTGCTAGAGAAAGATGAGGCTTTCTGCTCCTGTAAAGGTTTACAGGAGTCCTGTTGTGATGCTGTAGGATAAGGTAACTGCTGGTTGGTGGCTCAAAACCATCAGCTGCTCTTTGGAAAGCTATACAGGGTCGTTATGAATCAAAACTGACTGACTTGATGGCACTTAATAACACCACCAAAACAAGAGGTATTTATAACTAATATGTACATAAACTCATTTAATATTCACAATTCTTTTGGTATTATTCGATCCAGTTTTAAACAGTAGATGAGGAAACAATGACCTGATTCATTTGCAAAGGGTCAAGTAGAAGAGCTAGTATTTGAACTCCCACCTATCTAATGCTAGAGCACATGCTGCTTATTTAACTATTCCGTATAGATTTTCAGGTAGGATTCCTGAAGCAAACTTTTAAAGCAGGGGCCATAACTCTTTAAGCCATGCAAAGTAACTTAACCATTAGCAAACATTTTCCATCTCCCTTTGGTCTGAAGAATGCACTTTTAATTAAATGTTATACTATCCTTTTTCTTTTTTTTTAAATTGGAAATTTCTTTTTCAAGTTGGTAAGTTAAATTATTATACTTCTTTTTAACTGTATACTAAAATGAGACATAAATTTAAAATTTCTTTATTAGCTCACCCAGAGATTTAACAAATGTAGGTTTATCAAGATTTTCCATCTGTCCTCCAATACAGCCTTGGCTTGATAATAAGCACACAGTATTTGGACGAGTGACTAAAGGAATGGAAGTTGTGCAGAGGATCTCCAACGTCAAAGTCAATCCCAAAACAGATAAACCGTATGAGGATGTCAGCATCATAAATATTACCATCAAGTAAAACAGGTTTCATTGTTTTAGAAGTTAAAATATATTAAACATAAGATTATTTTACATTAAGAAGCTCTGACTTACTAAACATACAAATCATGTTCAAATATATAATATTCTATTTTTATATATTTCATTAAAGGCCATTTTTTAAATTGTTGCCTTTGATTTTTCTTGTACTATTTTTCATCGAGTTGATAAATTAAAAGGGGCTAAACAGGCAAAAATCACTTCTTATAATTTCTAATGAGACTGAAAACTATATGAAATAATCATAGTGGTATGTAAAACTGCCATATATTCTGCCAACATGATATATCTGCTTTAAGAAAAAGTAGTCTGGGTAACAGGGTCTGTTATCATCATCATTCTGTTGTACAGTGTGTATTTCATTCCAATTAGCTTTGTATTTGAGCTCTGTTAAGTAGTAAGTAGTGGTAAGTAAAGCTTCTTTGAGTAAATAGGAAGTTCCCTTTGGTCAAAGGTATCAAATTCCTCAATAATTATAAAATAATACCTTCCAATATGAGAATCAAAATAAATGAATACCTGAGTCATTGGTTTTGTATGCAAGTTAATTTACTGTTTTCACATTCTTTTTCCATGACAGCTGTGTTCTGTCCTCAA